AGTCCACACATCTTCAAGTGGTCAAGGTTGAGGAACACTGTCATAGAGAACTTGCCAGAGACAAACATCCCAACCTTCGCAGGTGAAACCATGGCCATTCTCAAGCTCTCTTGTCCTAAAGAGAAGGACTCAGACTGAGGCCATTGCATATATTCCCCAGAAACCTTGAATGCAACCTATGGAGACCTGCTCAAGTAGTTATCAAACCGTAACAGAAGTAAAACCAATATTAACTCCATGGCTGGAGAATAAGCAAATGAGCTCAATTTTGATTTCATTAATTCTCAATGTAAACAAAATGCAATTTAAGTTTTGCCCTGGCTTTGCTCACTTGTTTTCAGAGTGTAACCTTTGATAGATTTTCCAAAGTCCAGAGAAATATTATTGCATCCATGGATTAAAGGTGCAGAGTTTCCCCAGCTACTAGAAGATGAATGGGACATTTTTGTCATGCCAAACACATTCTCTGTCCCTACGCTATAACAATTTTGTGCTATTTTTTCCATGCTTTAATGAATACAAGGAGACTTTAGAATACGAGCACTCTTGACTTCCACCTCTAGATCATGAGCAAGTTCTATTAAAGAAATTCCACATTACTGCCAGTAAAAAAAAATCTTTGGGTACAGTACTAAAACAGGAAGAAGCATCACATGGTGAGGCTATAAAAGCTACATCTTCTTTCAGGCTCCCATTGCTTTTTGAAGTGCAGTCTCTAGCCACTCAAAAGCCAAGTATGAACCTCATCCTGAAAAAAAAAGTTGTGTACCCCTGCTTGGTAGAATAAAGATAACTGAGGAGGAAAAGATAAAATAGTAGTACAATGTGTTTTGATGGATAACTCTGGGGACCACCCATCTGGAAACATCAAGTTCTGGTAGAAGAGGGCAAGATTGAGAGTAGAGTCAGTGTTAATAACAGAAGCCAAGAGCTTTGATTCCACTCAGAATCATCTTTGGATTTTCAGTGATAACCATCTTCTCTCAGCCTGTCACTTCAAAACATAACTGTGACTTAATGAGCAATGATCAAGATTACACAGCCAATGTCAGCTTATTCTCAGCACTAGCAGGAAGCTTTTTAAAATATTAGTCAGTTGACATAAGGTTCCTCTTTAGGTGAGCCTGGGTGGTGATGGGAAATGCTTTCAGCTGGGACATCCCCTACATTCCCCCGTTGGAATAAATTCAACCATTTCCAAATGAACAAAAATTGAGTTAAGGAGCTGGTTCAGGTTATTTCATACTGGGTCTTCAATATATCCAGGTGAGAGCTGAAATAAAGTGCTTCAGGATTTTAGAATCTCTGAGGAAAGGTGTGATCCAGATGTTCTCCTTCAGACACTGGGATTTGGGATATCCTCCTTATGCTTCCCTGAGCACAAAGCATCCTGAAGCAATACTATCCAAGTTCAGGTTTCCTTTGAAGGAGAGATCATCAGACACTTAAGGTGTCATAGTTCAAATTTATTTCATTCCCATTACGCAAGGAAAATGTAAGTGAAAGCAAACAATAACTTCACTTTAAGACAGCTGATTTGCTACCCTATAAAAGATTCCTGCACCTGCAGAATCATGGGCTATTGATGAAACCGTAGTTGGCTAATTACACCCAACTTCAGCTTACTGAATCAAAATCACATTACCTGTGTGATGGATATATGTATCTCAGTGTTGGCATATTGCTGGAGTTCTCCAAGCTTGGAGGGGTCCTTTTTTTTTTTTGAGGGGGAGTGTTGCAATGTAATGAAATGTCTGCAACCCAAAAACTGAGTTCAGAGAACTCCAGCAACAAACCATTTTATAGTCTTGCATGTCGTATGAACAAGGGCATGTTCTGAAGTTACTTGGCTGGTATTGATAGGACAGAAATGTGGTAGGAGCTCGAAATATTTCTCAGCAGTTCTTTGTTGTTGAACATTCTTATCTATCCCTTCCCTAATCTATATCATGAACCCTGACTCCACTGGTTTCTATTTAAGGAGAAATGTGTTCCATATTGGTCTGGTTCTTTCCTTCTGGCCATAGCACAAAAATGCCTCACTGACTACTTCTGAAGGACTTGTCTTCATGATATTGCCTCCATTTCATCTCCAGACCACTGTGAAGTCAGTCTAGAGCAGTGTTTCTCAAACTTGGCAACTTTAAGATGTGTGGATTTCAACTCCTGGCTGGCTGGGGAATTCTGGGAGCTGAAGTCCACACATCTTAAAGTTGCCAAGTTTGAGAAACAGTGCTCTAGAACATCTTTAGCTGTTCTAATCTGAAAGCGGTATTTTCCTTATTCTTCTAGCTCAAACCCTGCATGAACAACCTAGAGCATTTCATGGAATGAACCTGGGAATTAGATGGTCAGGGCCGGTGCTCTTCTCAGCTCCAGTTGGCCTGGTAGGATTGCTATAGAAATGACCCCTCCTTGCCCAGTCACAACAGACTGTGCCTCCATTGTGCCTCCTGCTTTGGCTGTGAGAGGGTTGGGACAGCCGGTCTTTTCCCTTTACACAGGAATAGCAAACTCCCAGAAGACTGATAGATCTATCAGCCAATTATCCTGCTATTGTGTGTGCACCTGTGTGCTGCGGAGATGGTACAGAAAACATGTGAGACACTCACACAAATCTGGAATGGGTGGGAGGTGTGAAAGAGAAGAGGCTTTTTGTCTGACCCAAAATGATTCATAGGGGAAACTGGATTCAGGAGGGAGAAAGGGAAGAAAGAATCAAAACAGTACTCTCTGATTCGGGGTTTTCTGTTTTGAATTCCAAATCAGCTCTTCTGAGCTCTCATACATCCTCTTGGGGACGTGGGGTGGAGGGAGACTGACATAGATATAATGATCTTCAGTTGCTCTGATGGGGATCATCATGCAGTAATCATCATGCAGTGATTTTGACATCCTCTAAGAAATTATTTCATTGGGGCAATGCTGGGAGATCAATGCTTCGGTCAGAAGATGCATGAAATTAACAAAAAATAAAATAAAAAATAAGGCTAAATAAATATATAAGGTAAGATATAAGGCTTGTTTTCCCACTGATAGGTGACGCTGGATGGCAGGGGAGAGGCAGGCAGGGAATTCACCAGTCCTTAAAGCCTTGTTGTTTCAATCCTGGTCAGCAAAAGTCCATTAAGGAGTTTTGTCCATTAAGGACAGAGAGAACTGC